AAAATGGGAAATCATGGCCCTCGACTTAACTGCACTGAGAAGCATGCTGCACAGAGTTTGGAGAGGAATCATGCAGATTCACTGCAAACAGTTTTGTGTTACAGTAGAGAAGCAGCAGAGGCCATGGATGGAGTCATGCACTGTTTCACCCACAGAAATGTGGAAACCTACTATCCAGCTGCCCAACGAGCAGAGAGTTTGAAAGCTTAAGAAAACAAGTGAACAAACAGAATGACATCCAATCAAAAGTTGCTTCTTCCTCTCTACTTTCCAAAATGCTAGTTGCTGTTGGGTTAAATGCTTTTATTGATCTCACTCACCTCAAAAAAATTTACAGCTTGCAATATCCACAAACTCAGCATAAAGGGGCTGATACAGCAGGCAATTTTCTGCTCCCAAAGAAGATCTATCTCTACTGACTTCCCCTTTTTCAGCTGATTTGCTTCTATTATTCCTAATGTTGGTGAACAAGAGTGGGTTTGTATATTTTTTCCCATTCTCCTCAAAATTTCAACTGGAAAAAAAATTACCAGTAGCGACACACACACATTAGGTGGGGAGAGGGTGGACAAAGCCGGAAGATTAAAACCATCCTATCTGACCCCAGCGGGCCTCTAGTACCCACGGCCACGTCCTGCCGTGGGGGTGGCCCTCCGGTGCCCTGGGGGGGACAGGGGCAGCTGCGGTGGCAAGCAGCAGGGTGTGCGTTTAACTGAGCAGTCCGCTAGTCACCCCTGCCCGGCGGCCGGGGCGGGGGGAGGCCAGGGAACAACAAAGCGGGCTGTAAAGCCTCCAGGTGGTGGGTGTATTTGTTGTCCTGTCTGCGAGGTGCGGTGGCTCCCCGGCCCCGGCAGATCCCAGTGCTGCTGTGGACATCAAGAAAAGTCTCTTTTGGCTGATTCCAAAACCAGATAAGGAGCCGCCGAGCCACCAGCTCTGTCTAGACTCTGGACCTCACAAGTCAAACTGGTTGTTTGGATTAGCCTTGGAGATCTACCGACCTGAACAGCCCTCCTAAATAAAAGCCACAGTAACACCCTATTTTCCTCTTCCCATTGCCGCCCGACGTCTGCCCGGAGATAGGAGGCGAGGTCTGCTTTGGTGTGTGTCACTTATTTCTGGAAAACTTTTCCGCCCTCTCTCTCCGACAAACACACCTTGCCCTGTTTTTTCTGCCAGGGGAAGGAAAACAAAACAACAACAACAACAAAAAAAAAAACACACAAAAAAAAACAAAACAACAACAACAAAGAACCCCACAATAAAAATTCGGAGAAAAAAAAAAAAGGCAGAGGCACTTCAGCAAAATCCTGTTTTGAAATCTTCCTCCTTCCTTCTCTCCCCCAGCCACACACCCCAGGAGATCCTCTAAGGAGAGCGGCCCTGTCGCTGCCCCGGTGCTGCTGGTCCCGGGAGACCCTGCCCAGCACAGAGGGAAGGCTACGACACCTCTCCTCTCCTTTGCGTCCACGGGTCCGCCCCGAGCACTTGTTTGGTGGCTCTCGGGCGCGACAAGTTCAAAGAAATTCAAACGAAAAGGGAACCTAACATAAAAGCTGCATCCCCGGACTGGGATGCTTCGGAGAGCAGAGCAGAGCTCCTAACCCAACCCCCGGCACGGGAAGAAGGCTCCGGGAGACGTAACGGTTAATTTTGTACCCCCGCAACAGATGCCGTGAGAGATGGAAAGCTCTGTCCTACACAGGAGAGTCTTTTCCATCCACCCACTTCCCCCCCCCCCCGGTGCCTGCCTCCTTCGGAGCTGCCTCCTCCGCCTGCACTTCACAAGTCCCGGGAGGTGAGGAGTGATCCTCCAGTACGGCCGGCACGCTGGGAGCAGTTAAGTTTATATTTGTGGCGCCTGGGCTCAAACAGTCATTCAGTGGCTTGCTCCGTTATCAAGAAAACAACAATCAGGAACAATCAGTAAACAGGATCTCTTTCCAGCCCCTTTATTAACTACTTACAGTTCCACTGAAGCAGGCAAACCTGCCAGCAGTGGCACTTCGCACCGTAAAACGCTGTCGGCCTTTCGGGCGTGCAGGGTGGTCGTGAAACGGTGCTCGTGAAAAGCGCCCAGCACGCTATTCCTGAACCCGCTCTGGCTGTGACTCCGTCCCTTGCGCTGCACTGAGGCTTCGGCGGCCCAAGGGCCGACACCTCCGGAGGGCCCCTCATTCTTTCCCCACTGCCTATCTCTGGTTGACCCAATGTGAATTTGTTAAAATACGTATGTTTGTGTATATATATATATGTACATATACATATAGAGAGGCAAGGACTTACTGTTGAGATGTTCGACTGATCTCGGCGCTGGAATTCATGTACCTGGCTTATGCTACGTCGGCTGGAAATGCTGAGAGTTAATTAACCTGGTACAAATATTGAAATTAGAAGAGTTTGAATATTGTTTTCTGCGTGTGCAAACAGAATTCTCAGAGAAATTACATCAAGGCTTTACAGACCTTACTTGACACTGTTGAGGGAGGCTGGAGCAAGAAAACCGGAGGACCTGGGTCTGTTAATTGCCGGCCGTACGCGTATCCTAAAGAAGAGCCATAGCAGGAACGTGCACAGTGCACTGTGAAGACACGCATTTCACCAACAGAATGTTTTCTCTCGCTTGTGCAAATCCTTTCTGAGCTCAGGAAGGGTGTTCTCCTGAAGGTATTAGGAGGGACCTCTCGAAAGTTTGTCTCTGTCCCATGGCGGATAACAGTCATTGGAGGTTGGAAGAATGGAGGGAAATACGCCACAAGTGTATGAAGCGGAAGAGACCCAAAGGCCATAGAAGAATCCCCTACCCCCCACCCCCCCACCCCCCACACACACACGAGAAATGATATTGTATTAGGACGAGTTGTGCTTAACTGAAGGCTCGCGGGAGAAGGCTCCGGTGACCTCGGGCAGCACGTCTGCACAGCGGGCGGCCCGGAGCGGAATGTCTGCAGCCGGGAGGGGCACGGAGACCCCGAGTAACCGCAGCAGAAGTGACCACAGCCGCCGCGGAAGGCTCGGAGGGGGCAAGCATCCCATGGGGGTGCAAGGAGGAGCTCGGCCGTAGGTGTGAGTGGAGACACATGCCGACCAGGGCTCCTGCCCGCAGCCCTCCGAAGACACGCTGCCCTATGCCCTTGGAGGACCAAAATGCTACTTTGGCAGCCCAAACGCAAACCCCTCCCTCCCGCCAGGCCGCTTATCTCGGCGGCAACCCCAGCGGCCGGGAGAGCTCTCCGGGACCGCGGGGTGCCACGCAGCACAGCGCAGAGCTGGGGGGGGCTGCCTCCTGGCAAGCAGCAACAGCCAAAATCCACCTCTCCCTTCCGTGTAGCCCTCGGAGACGACAGACCCTCACCGACCCTAAGATCCTGGGAGAAGTGGGGAGGGGGAGGTGTCACAGCAACCCCCAGACCCGAAGTTGCTCTCCCGCAGGGTCACCCCCCTCCCCCGCAGCGTAACCCTGTGCCTCTCCCCCTACAAGTTAGCTCCCAGGCGGTGAAGGGTGAACGCAAAGGCCCCCGCGTTGCCCTGACCTTACAGGTTTCCAGTGCCATTTGAAGACACCCCCCAGGTCAGAAAGTCGGTCTCCAACCTCTCCAACCATCTTCTTTCCCCCGGGGTCAATAAGAGCTACTCAAGCAACTTACAGGTTAAACCACGGGAGAAATGACACCCTTTCTCCCTCCCACCACCCGAAGCGTGGTACCAAGCCTCTGATCCTGCATAAAAACACAAAGGTTACTGATCACACAATTTAAGGTAGATTTCATATTTATTTAAATATTTATCAAGTACTCAAAAATGTATTACACTTGAGCATACAAAATGAATCCAGTTTCTAATCAGGATGATTGAAATCCTTGTACTAGACTTTTAACTTTTTTTTTATGTTCTCAGTACTGTCGAAATGGTTTGTCTCTATAGCTGAGCTTGCTCAGGGTGGGCTGAGATGGTGAGAAGGGAGGAAAAAGAAGGTTATGTTAAAAAAACCATTAGAGTCTGGAGTAACTATCATGCAAACCAACTTGTCTTTGTCAGACTAAAAGTCTCCATATATTCCAGTTAAGGGTTTTTTAAAGAGAGCCTTTGTCTTGTGCTGGCCGGGAGCACTAGGGAGCACTCAGAGCAAAAACAAAACCTTTTTTTTTTTTTTTTTTTGATACTTTTCCCCAAGAAATCACCCACGTTTCTAGCTTTCACCACCCTCTCCCCCGCAAATTAAAAAAGGAAGAAAAGAGGGAGTGAAGAGAGGGAAGTCGACAGAAAATAAGGAACACTATTCGTGCAATTTCATAGCAATATCCCCATAACGTATACCTCCTGCAGCATTATTCAATCGTTTTGACAGCAGACACTGATAAATAATGTTCATACTTGACTTATTAAGCAAAAAGCGTCCCTTTTATCAGGAGCTTATATGTAAAGTACAGGTCACTTCAACAATCTCAACAACGAGGCTTTGGTATACAGCACTTTCTTTTTTATTATTTTTAAAAAATAACAGAACTCAGCAAAAAGCCTGAGCTCCCAGGTTTTTTAGATGTCTTAACGTTATGTCAGATCATGCCTAGAGTAATATCACTTTTAAGGGCAAGGGATGGGGGGACGGGGACAAGAGAGCTTCTAATATTATCGATTGAAAGCTAAGGCATCCAAATAGCCCTGATATAGTTGTTGAAATGGAAATTTACAAGCTGGTCGTTAATACTTGCAATAAAATATCACACTCTTTTTATTCACTAACGACCTGCTTTACATGCAATATTTTATTTCAGGTATTTTAGCTGCTAACTTGCAAATATTTAAAAGAGGGAACTTTGTTCATTATTTAATATTAATATTATTATTTTCTCTATTCTGAACGCTTATTTAGTGAAATAGTCCTGAAGATATAATAATTCTACATATGGCGCTTTCAGTTCACATAATCTTTAAGAAAAAAAAAAAAAGACAAAATCCACATAGAATTAGACATATAATTCAAAGACCACGGTACAACCTTTCCTTTTTTTTTTTTTTTTTACTTCAGCAAACAAAAAATAGTCAAATGACATGAAAAGTGGCAAGTCTTCCGATAATAAATAATAAATTACTTTATAATTTTGCAATGCAAGAGCAAACAAAAAGGGGTTTCTTTTCTTTTTTCCTTTTCTTTTTTCTTTTTTTTTTTTTTCTCTTTATTTTTAGAGAGTGAGAGAGAAAGGGAAAGAGAGAAAAACAGTCGTTTTAACCAATGACTATACATGTCTTTGGGGGAGGGGAAGGTTCTTGGACTGACACATTTCAAACACAATCCCGAGACGCTTTGTGGCAAAATAGAGGTATAACTTGTTGCAATGTTTTTATAAATTGTTTTTTCTAAGAGGAATTCAAAAACTTGTTTTAAATCGCTTCAGACTTGATAAAGAGAGTGGATCTCAACCAAACAAAACCAAAACCCCGCTACAGTACATGCTAGAAGAGACCCAGGAAATATCCCCATATTAAGAGTCAACTAAAAACAACATTGCAAACCAATGCAGCTCCACCTTCCTCCAACGAACCTTTCAACAATTCAGGGCTACATCGTCTCTTTCCTGATGATGGAAAACATGCTGGAGCTCCTTTTGGCAAGGCAATCACCAATATAGAAACAGCACCGTTCGGATTGGGAGAGACTGGATAGAAGGTCCCTCTACCTTGGTTTCTTCCGAAGATGTGCAGTCAAATGAACAGGTAATTTTTTTCACTTTTTTGTTTTGTTTTGTTTTCTTTTTGTGAGCCACGAGTACAAATCCTTTACGTTTTGAAAACGTCTTTTCAATCCTCCTCTGATCATTGAATAGAGCACGTTTTGTTGTTGGGTTTCTTTTTCTTTTTTTTTCTTTTTCTTTTTTTCTTTTTTTTTTTTTTAAGTATTCTGGTAAGATCCCATGATTGTCTTCACAGTGTTGCTACCATATTACCTTGTCTTTTCAAACATGACTCCGTTCATTTCATGGAGCGATTCCTTGCTAGGTTCATTACAGGGCTGTTAAATACTTCCCCTCCCCCTAAATTTCGGAGTCCCAACAAGATCACTTTCCCACTCTCTCCAGCAGGGGTGAGGGTAAGGGCAGAAACAACAACAACAGAAATCTGAATGAATGTTCCTCATGCCTCAATAGGACTGGCTACCATGCTGTTGGGTGTATCTGGAAGCTGAGAAGACATTGATGCTACTTCACTTCCCGTAGAATTGGAACCGGGTCCTCCTTCTGAAAAATTAACCTGACAAAAAAAAAAAAAAAAAAGAAAAAAGAAAAAAATAAAATAAAATAAAATAAAATAAAAAAGAAAAAAAAAAGTATTGTTACAAGTGTAACAATCAAAGATGAGTACCAGGCAAAGAAGAACGCAAAAATAAATACAGAGGCATGCATCCAAACGGCCTGACACATCTCCACAGGAGGCTGTGTCAGAGTTTGTTGATTTGTTTAGCTTCCCCATTGACTTCACAGGAATCTTCTTAAGGCCTTCGGCCAATTCATGGGAAAAAAAAAGCAGGTTAAAAAAAAATAATAAAAAATAAATGTAAAAGACTGAAAAATCAAGCAAGTAAACAAACAAACTTATTAAGGAGCCTTCTTCCCTGACTTCCGAGACTGGCAATCCCAACAGGATGTTCTAGTCAATTATTTAAGAGTGCATGTGGGGTTTTTTTTTACGCGAAACTGCAAGGTTACTTTTTTTCCTCTTTTGTGCACATGCTAAAATAAACGTGGAAGGAGCATCCAGGAGCAGAAAGCATTTGAAACAAGCCATCCTCTGTCATTTGTGATTTGAAGAGGGTGCTATCTCTTTTTAACGAGAGTCAGTTTGATAAAAAAGGTCACACTTCTCCATCCTAACGTGCCCCGCGGCTCCCGTAGGTTTGGAAGCAGCGATGGGAAAAGGCATGGTTTGAAAGGCAGAGCTTTAATAATGCAAAAGCATTTCATTGGCACCTATTTAGCTGGACGATCCTGTGATTAAAGCCTTCTCCAGATTAGAGACCTGTTTTGAAGTCGGTGAACTGCCTGTTCCATCCACTGTTCTTTATTTTAACTCTTTTTAGTATCAGACATTATGTCTTATATATATTAATCCCTCTTGACCTGTCTATCTAAAGATCTATCTACCTATATGTGTGTGTATTTGGGCTGTCCATCTTCCATCCTTGCCCGTTCCTCCTCTTTTTTCTTTTTTACAACTACTCCATACAGAAACTCACTGCATCAAAAGTTTTTAAGGTCACCTATTCTGTTAAGGCACAATAAGTAAGGCAGCCAAAAGAGATGATTTTTTCTCGTGTCTGCTTGACAGCTTGACTAAAGCAGAAAAACCTGTGGTTGCTTTAGAGGTAAGATGATGCAAACAGTCCTGCTGCTGTGCTAAAGCTTCCTGAAAGAGCACGGTGTGCCAGGTGAGGGGAAGCAGGCTGCAACCCACCACCGGGCAAAAGAAAAGCAATCATGCAAGCAGCGTTGGCGCTGAAAAGGTCTGAAAACTATCCTAGACGTGGCTACAAGCCTACATTTTCCATTGCTTCATGTCAGAAAAATGCCCAGCAGATCAAAAAAGGGTCTATATGTTTATTTTTCATCATTAACTTTTGGTTTTTTAATCACTGAAAAACATCTTATTATTTTAAGGATCCGGTTTTAATATATTTAGGCCAAGAAACTGAATTAAGGCTGAACTTTTGTCCTTAATTCACCTTTTTGGGACTAGGTATTAAATTATATGGTCCCTTATAAACTGCCAAGTGACGCAGGCATGAGGAAGTGAGTTAAGAACAGAATTTATTCTAAGAGGTCTGTTTTCTTTTGGCTTAAGGCAGTTTATTATATTGTTTGAATTTTTCACCTAAATATGTACTAACACTTCCCTTTCCAAACAACATTTAATGTAAACTATATGTATGTATATGTTTGTGTTTATGTATGTATCTATAGCTATATGAAGTTGTATCTAGAGGTATCTGCTTAAAACAAGGACTTCAAAACTTTAATTAAGTTATTCGTGTTTGTGTGAAAAGAACAGCGGCACAGGCTGACATTGCAATTAACTATTTAAATCTACCCTAACTCAGAAAGGCAAAATTGGTCCGAAGTGGGGAGGGGGGAGTTTTAGAAAAGGCTTTCACCAATGTGCATATAATTTACACGTGAGGAATACTTTAGTTCTCTGGATCTCTCAGTTTTGAGGGGTATGCGAGCTAAGTTAAGTCTGAGACCTACTTCAGGCCTTATCCATCTCTCTCTCACTTCAGCAAGAGCCCCGCTGTGCCCTAAGCTAGGTTTCACACCAAGACCTGTGAAATCAGTCCAGTTCGCCACGTTTACAAAGTGTCGTCATGCTCACCTTGCAATTTCAGGAAAACCCGGCTAGTCTGGATGGCTCATCTCTCTGAGGGCATCCGGTACCTTTAGGGAATCCCCCATTGTTCTGCCCCGAGTACCGGCTGGCCTGCTTCGGCTGGGAACCGACACTTACTAGTTGCTGAAAAGCAGGTTGGTCTATGTCACTCTGCAATGCGAAGTCGCTCAGTACTTTCCAGGGCGGCTGGTAACTCTGCACCTCCACCGGGTTCGCCTGTAAACCACCGTCATGTCTCTCTGGACTAGCAGCCACCATCGGAGTTCCTGTCATCCCCTGGATATTCTGTAAACAGCCCAGCAAAAGATGTTAATGAGCTTGGTTAACTTTATTGTATATAAGCGCTGAATCAATAAACTGCTTTCTATCTTATCTATACAGTCGCTTGTATTTGCTTTGTTAATCTGCAGTGAATGTCTTACTCTATTCTACTCTAGGTCAGCCTATTCCTACCAGCTGCATTTATCACGGTGGAAGTTTACTTTCTTTCCCTTTAATCCTCCCATTTCTCTCAAGGCATAACCCTCCACCCCAAGCTTTCTAAAACACAAGCACTCTCTATCTTGGCTGCCGATGCACAAGAAACGGTTAATCATGCTGCCTTTCTATGCCTTTCTGTTTCGCATCCAGGAGGGTTTTATTTTGCATGACCTTAACTGTATCGTATAACCACGGCAAACCTGGGGTACGTCTATCCAAAACATTTAAAAAAAAGAAACCCCAGCCCTCACAGTACGCCCTGTGGTGCAAGCACTGTGTACAAAATAACTCCGAGACTCGACGAATATATTGTTCAGGAGAGTTAATAACATCGTGTTTTATTGCATTCCAACAGGGTAAAATGAAACTCCTTAAATTCCACTTAAATAGGCAGCCTTATGAATTAATAGTCATTCTCAGGTCAGTCAATATACACAAGGAGAAAAACAGACTCTTCTTCAAGTGGATAACAACGAGGGGGGAGGGGAGAGGAAGAAAGAAAAAAGTTGACTTTAAAGGGAGAGAGCCAGTTTGCTCTGCTGTGCCCAGCACTTTCCGCTTATTTGCACCACATGTGCATATGCCCGTAGACAAGAACTGAATATATTTCTTCACGATGATTATATATAGTTAAAGTAACCTGTAAACACGATGGTGATTCCAAAAACTTTGCATTGCATTTGTCTTTTGCTGCAGTGAATGTACTGACAAACATATGCATGCACATTGTAGTATGTAAAGTGCTAAAAAAATACATCCGATTTCCCTTTTACTCATGGGTTTTACTTCTGGGTTTACTTCTGCGTAAAACCATTGAAGAGGGCGAAAGCATCATTTTCCCCTCGAGGACTGCTTTGCATTTGCAATATCAATATTACACAAGGCTGGGCTTATTATATCCCTTAAGCTCTGCAGGTCGCAATTCATGCTGCCGAGAAGTTAGTCTAATCCTCTGCGTATCCTTAGACCCGCAAAATGACATGTGTTCGCTTGAGCAGCCTATACGGGCTTCTCGCTATGGTCTGTTTTAATTGCATTGACGACAGAAACAAGAGGATAATAGTTAAACGCTATCATTTTCTTTAAGGGAGCTCCCTCAAAAATCAAGAGCGTCAGACAGACCCCGGAGGCTGGCCGGGCTGGATACAGCCCAGGCGTTTCTCCTCGGGAAGGGAGGCAGTGCACGGCCAGAATCTGAAGCCACTTACGGTTTTGTCATTGGGTTGCTGCTGCTGAAGTTGCTTCATCATAATGCTCCTTTTTTTGTCCTTGCACCGCTTGTTTTGAAACCAAACCCTGATGACCCTCGGGCTGAGGCCAGTCATTTCTACCAGTTGTTCCTTCATGAGGGCGTCAGGTCTAGGGTTGGCAGCGTAGCAGGTCCTCAAGGTGTGAAGCTGCTTTTCATTAAGGACAGTCCGGACTCGGGTGGTCTTCTCGGGCTGCTTGTGGACGTGGGGTCGCAGAGCTGGCTGTCTGGCAGAGATAGGTTCTGCTGTAAGGGAAGGGGAAGGGAGGAACAGGATCCCCATGAGTAGAAAGCAGGGAGTCTGCAGAGGCTATGAATCTAAGTTGGTGGGACAGGGGGAGGCAAGGAAGTGGGGGGGGGGGGGGGGTGAACCCGCTTTTCAAAGGCCATTCAAGCAGTCAGATCTACCGGAGCTTCTGCAGCCTCCTCTGCTTTATGCGCCGGTGGAGTGACAAGACTGACATTTCTGACTCCACAGATAATTAATTTGCAAAAACAAACCACCCCCCTAAAACCCTTAATGACAGAAGCTTGAACCTCTGTGAGGCTTGACAGGAGAGGGCGAGTTCGCCAAGGTGTGCGTGCGCTAGGGAAGGAGTGGGAGGGTTTTATGTATTTATTCCCTGACAAATCACCAAAACAGCTTTTTGGCCTTAAAATTAATGAAAGAATACTTCTTATATTAATCATAATTTCTTTTTGCTTCTTGTATACGGAATCAAGCTCAGTTTAGCCAAAGGACGCGATAATGTGCAACACCTCCCGGCACTCTGATGCCACCAAATAGAAGCAGTAAAAGCCAAATCCACTGCATCATGACCTTGTAGGAAAATCCTGCGAGAGCACAGTATCTCAGAGCTTGGAATACGGAGTCTATCTTAGAAAGTGGAGGCGCTAGATGAATTTATGCCGACTTTTGACAAATACTTGAAAAAAATAGGAATGTTTCGCCAATTCTTTTAAAGGGGAGCAAGCCTAGTAACTTGTGGAAACCACCAAGAAGTGCAAACCTATTGGTATGTACATCAAGAACTGAAAGTATTCGTGTGATTCTGATATTCTTATGTGTATTGTGTAGCTGTAGCTATATAGATGTAATTTGACCCCCCCTATCCCCTTAAACTCTGGTTAGCTAATATTCAGAAGTGTTCGCCTTTGTACAGTCGAGTTCCGACTTTTTTGACTATAACAATAAATCAGCAAATGAGATAAAGACGATACGAAGCTTCACATCTTAACAGTGTTGTACCTGCCTTCACAGTATGCCTTTCAGAGACATGCATAAACATGCTGTAGGGAGCACGCACCATCTCTATACAATTCTGCCGTGATCAGCTATAGAATTATTTCTCCCTGTATACAGATATGTCACCTGGAAGTGGCTCAGAAGGGGGGAAACGAGCCTGTTTAAACATAGCTATGTTTGTAAACAACTTTTCTAGTTACAGCTACTTGCACAGCAATAACGCCAGCCAACCTTTAATTGTCCAGCCTAGTTTGCCTCAGAGGCGTGCCCCTTCCTAAAGCTAAGCGTCTCTGAGTATCTGATGTGCTCATCGAGACCTGAAAATGTAAGTAGAGTTGTAAGGTGGGTGGACTGTGAAGATACAATGCCGAGTTTTAAGCTGAAATTCTCACCAAATCACATAAAACGTTTCAGGAAGGCAGAGTCACTTTAAAAGGCAATTACCGAAGATTAGCTTGTTGACAGTTTTAAATTACAGCCTAAGTGCTCGCCTGTAGTAACGAAGTCTATCTCTCCTCGGACCCCGCTTCCTCCGGTGCTTAGCTCCACACGCTCCGGAAGCGGAGAGCTCATTGCCGCAGACCTGCTCCCTGCAGCGGCTCGTCCCGCTCCGGCTTAGGCCACCGAGCTGACCCTGGCTGAGGTGGGGGCACACATAGGACCCCCGCACCCGGTGCGATGCGGGAGAGGGAGGGCTGGAGGATGGGGGGCGCGCCCCCCGCAGGTGGCTCCGCCTCACGCGCACCGCATGCGCGGGCTTTTCTCACGGCCACCTCTCCGCAGGCGCGCACGCCCGAGGCCGCCTTTCCGCGGGGTTACGGGACTGGGTGCAAGCAGCTGCGCACTCCCTTCACAGCAGAGCCGGGCTGCGCTGAACCCCGCGGGGTCCCGCGGCGCCGGGTGTGGGGCGGTACCTGCCATCTGCAGCGGCCGGGCTGGATGCAGGGGGCTGAGCGGGTCCCCCGCGCCCAGGCTGGCCCGCTCCACCACGTCGTGGTCCGCCCTGCAGAAGAGGCCGTCCTCCCGCAGCGCGAATTCGTCGCCGGGGATGAGCTGGCGGCTGCAGGCCACGCAGCGGAAACACTCGATGTGGTACACCTTGGCGCGGGCGCGCATCACGAAGTCATTCTTGCTGAAGCCGATGCTGCACTTGGCGCACTTGATGCCGTATAACCTGAGCAGGGCCCAGCCCAGATAGAAGGAGAAGGGAAGGAATGAGAGAGAGCACGGGAGGGGGAAGGGGAAGGGCAGGGAATAGATGTGGGAGAAGGAAGGAGAAAAAGAAAGAGAGAGGTTTTCACTCCCGCTCTTGGGCAGCCCCGTGGCCCCGCGTAGACGCGCCACACGCAGTTCACTGAACAAGCCTTAAAAATACAGAAGCCAGTAGAGGAAAGGAATAAATAGGTTTTGCTTGCTGCCGGTACCCTGCCGTGAAAGGCTGTGAGGACCCGGACTCACCGGTGTGTAAGGAGAGGGGGAAGGGAAGGGGCTATGGAGGTGGAAGGAGAAACAGCGGTAGAAACAAAAAAGCGACACCCTTCCTTCCCGAGGAGATGCCGACCTCTCCCTCCCGCCCCAGCTCCTGGGTTGCAGCAGGCGACGGGCCGTCCCTGCCTTCTCCTTCCCTCCCTCCTTACACTGGGATCTAGCCTGTCACGGGGCTGAACCGAAACGTCCGGGTACACCGGGTAAAGGGGAGGCTGGTGAGGCTGCCATCCACTCCTCACTCACAAATATGCCAGCCTCACCTAAGGGTGTTATTTTCGCAAGGAACCCACTCAAGACTTCGCTCTTAATGCGTGCGGGGCTGTCGGCTGCTCAGCCCCTGTGACTTAGCAGCAGGGGCGGCTCTGCTAGCGGCGTAGGCTCTTCCTCTTGTCCCATCTCACCAGGTCTACTTTACACACACACCTTAGGTATGTGTATACATTCTCACGCATATAACAGTGAAACTCCCACCCGCCCCCCACAAGAAGGCATTTTAGGTGCCTTGGCTCTGCAGCCTGCCCCTGCCTCAGCCCACCCGGGTCCGTCTACCCCCCGCCGACGATTCCACCTTGCGCCGGGGCTTAAGCCCTCCAGCATGAGTGAAAGGGCAGTTCTCGCTGACAGCCCCACGCAGCAAATAATGGCTTTCTGGCGTAAGCAGCGGGCTCCTCGTCTCCCGTGGAGTAGAGTGGGACAGTTCACCCATCAGCAGATGAACACGAGAAAACGCTCCAACTCGGGTGCCTAGAATTGCAGTCTCTCGGCTCCCGCCGAGTGCTCCTCTGACGGACTCCTTGTCATTAGGTAACATTAACATCTTTCCGCAGATGTGGGGGTACACGCACACGACCCACAGAACTGTGAAAGCTATTGGTAAAGCTGAGCTAATATTCAACCCATTTCCTTACGAGTACACTTCCTTAGTGATAGTCTGTAGTGTATGCATGTGGGTGCAGATGTATATTTACATACAGCTTTAGCTGCTGACTCTATAGAGGTATACAAAACTATAATGTAGAGCTATGCATTTCCGAATTAAAATTCTGACAAGAACCCCCTTCCCCCAAAAAACAGATAAGCAGAAAAAAAGAACGGAGCGATCTCAGAGTACATGCATTAATAGGTTCAAAAGTTGGGGGAGTGCCCACATATCTGACAATTATAGATTGGGTCACGGTTTAATTCAAAGATGGCTTGCACATAATGTACATCTGATTTTTAAAATTGTAGCAAATTTAATGTTCCGAGTTTTAACTTAAAAGAGCTGCTTTTTTTTTTTCTTCATTTCTCCCGCTGAGTTCTAGGAGAAGGGAGGTGAGTACACCTCAGTACAAACCTTTCCCTTTCATCTGAAATTAGTAAAAAGGCAATGTTCAAAAGCACAGCTCCAAAGTAAAGAAAGAAATAAAAATATATAAATAAATAAAATGTGGTCTGTTTTTTATTACGGTAAAACTTTGATCAATTCTCACAATGGCTTGAAGGAATGATCTGTTTATGAATTGCGCACTGGAGGAGTCAAGACTCAAGTGCTTTATTCAATCCAGGATTACTAAGGAACTAGAAAAGGTATCTTCGGTGGATAGATAAGAACTGGGTCCCTATCCCTAAACTTTCTGTAAAAAAATAAATACCGTCCATACCTCAGTGTCAGGCAAAGTTCTGGTTTGGCAAACCCAGTAGGCGACACTGAAACGGATCAGAATGACCCAGGAGCGTAAATAATAAACACACTCGAAATTCCTCCTTTGGTTTCTCTATAGTGTCAGGTTTGGCAACTCTCACATTTTATCAGTTACCAGATTTTAATGTGAGGAAGGAAGCGGTTCCATTATCTAAATATACCCAATTGTTCGCGAACAGATGATGGGCAATTTGATCTGCTCTGTCTAATTCATCAGTACAGATAAGATAAGAAAGAAAAGGCAGTCAGATATCACCAAAGGGGTTAATATTTAAAAAGATTAAATGTCAGTTATTTTAGCAAAGAAACATTTCGGTCTAGGTTTTAACCTCCCCATAAAAGGATCCTTCATTCTAAAGGAAAATGCGGCTTTGTTGTTGTTTTTTTTTTTGCCTTTTTGTTTTTGATAGGCCTGAGTTAAATAACGGGGTTTGTGTGTGTTGTCGTTTCCCCCCACCCCCCTTTCCCCCGTGTATTTATTTTTACGGCACGCATGCTCTAAGTACTTTTCTTTTGCCTTTGCAAAAACAGAGACACACGTTTCTCAGGTTTTGTTAAAAAGCGTTCAGTTCCGTGTTGCATTTACTACCTACAGTATTGAAAATTTACTGCATTACCTACGATTTCCCACTCTTAGAATCACAGGACGCATTGCCAAAGTCCTCGGGAGGGTCCCACACAGTCGCTAGCTGTTCCCGAAAGTAAGGGTTTTTATACAGAAATTTGTATTTGAATCTGCGGGACAAAAAACTTGACTCCTCTAACTTTTTCCTTGCCTGTATATCTATAGCAGAATCACTTAGAAACATAACAGTTGTCGTTTCAGACTCTTCTCACAATTTTTCCTCTTCCTACCTCAGTCAGATTTATCAAGTTAAATAAAAAATTAAAAAAGGAAAATCACTGAAGAATTAAACAACGTAAATGGCGTACCTGATATAATCTCTTTTACAGTAGGTTTTGCCATCCCTAACAAAGCACGTACAGGTCTCGTCCAAATACTGATTACACTCTGCACACTTCAAACACGCCGCATGCCATTCCAAATCCGGAGAAACCCTCAGAATATACTGATCGTGAATTTGATTGCCGCAACCAACACATAGGGAAATCAGGCGTTTTTCTGAAATGAAAATAAATATGTGATTGACTAGCTGCTTGCACTCCTACAGAGATAAACACACTTTTAGTGTCGTTCCCTTATAGGAAGTACTCTGGGAGCGTTGCTCTTTTATTTATTTATTTATTTTTTTTTGAGTATCACATTTTTGGATGGTAATTGAAGTGTGCCATCAAAACCATGCCTCGTTCAGAAAGGAGGCGGAACATATGCTAAAATACAGATGTGAACAGTCTTAGGGGTGAAGGTTCTCATTTCGCAAGCCTTGCACAGAATCAAAACTCCAAACTCCCTTGGTGTTTTATTTTCATTTTATTGTTTGCTTGTTTGCATGCCTTGCCTCATGGGGAAAGCACCTGTATGTTTGATTTCATTTTTTTAAGAGGCTGTGACTGGAAATGGTGGACGCGTGTCTCGGTGCGCTTCGCATTCAGCCCTGTGCCACCGAGGAGGGGACTACAGGCAACTAGCAAGAATAACCATCTCTGCGGTTGTCACTTATTCTCTTTTGCAAGTCTAAAGCTAATTCCCCTACACGGACTAGGTGTTGGGTAGTCAGACAGCCTCACCACGGTCTAGCACGAGGAGAATTTAAGGATCCATGCTTGGAGATCCCATTAAAATCCTGTCTGCTCCTCAAACTTTTAAAAGAGAGCAGGACCCCAGGCTAGTAACGTACAAGGCTAAGAAGCTAAAAACATAACAAGCATGCAGGCATGGCAACAAAGACACCTTCTCTACCATTCAAATGAATTTCAGCTCTTTAGCAGTTAGCCTGCCTGAAACGATTACAATAGACAGTACATTTATTCCAACAACGGTAAAAATTCCGCCTTACTTTTTGGTGGATCTCCCATGTCTCCCATATCTGTAAGAGGGTGTAATGTCCACAGTGAAATGGTGTACGGTTTCGTTTTAAGACCCCAAAGTAGGTTTGAGAGCTGTCGCTAAAAATGAAAATAATAATAAAAAAAATAAAAAAAAGCAGAAGTATTAACAATAAAAGCAAAAAAAACAAACAAACAAAAAAAGACACTCGAAATAAAAAAAAAAAAGGCAAAACAAGACACCACCGGCGCGGGAGATACTGTCAGGGCTGCGGAGCGAGAAGGGGGCGCGGGGTGCGGTAGGGCGCGGAGAGGTGCGGGGCGCAGCGCGGCGCGGCGCGGCGCGGCCCCGGGGGGCGCGGCAAGGTCCAGCAGCGCTGCACGGAGCGGTGCGGTGTCACAGCGGTGCGGTGTCGCGGCGGTGCCGAGCTGGGCGCTGGCAGCTCGGGCACTCGCCTCGCCCTTATCTCTTACTCAAACTTCTCTGCTCCAACTCAGCCCGCTCGCCATTGGCCTGACGTCACGCGCCGGGACGTCACGCCTGCGCGGCGCCCATTGGCTGCAGGCTGCGCGGCGCAGCTGCGCTGATTATCATATTTCAGCGTCTGGCGGCGCGGCGGCCCCGGCTCGGGAGCTCGCAGGCAACTTTTCCTCACTCCTCATTTGTATTTCCCTTCATACTTTCTTCTTGTCGCTCTTCTCCATCCCCGACGTTTATCTCCCGTCACACCTTTCATTCTCCATCCCGGCCCCTCTCCGGCTCCTTCACCCTTCCCCCTCTCGGGCTCACCGTGCCGCATTTACTGTTTCCATATATATATACACATATACACACATATATATGTACATATATATATGTATAACTTTTTTCTTTTCTCTGGTGATGGAGGGGAGGTGGTGGTTTTACTCCAACTATTTCCTTTCCGGGTGCTTATCTTTCTTAGGTGGGAGCCGCTGTCCTGGTTGCCCTAGGCAAAGCTGCCCTGGTCGGGGAGGGCAGGACGGGCTGGTTGGGCATCGCCCCAGCCACTGCCCCGATGTAGGACTGTTTATGTTTGTCCTTCAGCCCCCTTTTCCCTTAAAATCGCGGATAAAAGCTTCATGTATTTCTGTTAAACACAAGGTCGAAGAAGGTGCAAATATTTACCCTGAATTGTCTTTGAACACTCCCTCCATTCTATTTATGTTTTCCAATCCCTTTTAAATCCTTTTCCTTTCTTTTTTTCTCTCCCTCCAACCCCCCTCACCCCTCCCAGTCTGCAAATAGAAACGCATCCTGTGTTTAGGCGGTTTCCTAGGTTGGCTGGGAATGGAGATTGGCGAAGAAAAGTGAGGAACTTCTGTTTCTACCAGAGGAGAATCCCCTATATTTTTTATTTAAAATTAAAAAAGAAAAAAAAAAAAGGGTTGGTGGGCGGGGGGAGGGAGGGTAGGGGGAGAAGAGGAGGACTGCGCGGCTCTGCGGCGCTGCTCCCTGGAGGCGATATGGGGAAGCGGAGACCCGCAGCTGGGCGCGGTGCAGTGCTTGAGTCCCCTAGCCGCTCACTGGCGCAGGGCTCCCCGCAGCCCGCCCCACCAGGCACCGGCTCTGCAGGCCTTTGGGCTCCAGCGGCCCGTTATCTGAATCCTCCCAAATCAGGGAAAATGTAACTTCCCTGTGGGCACGGATTTCTTTGTGTATATTTTTCAAAGGGCAGGCTCCGCTTAAGCTGTACGGTGCCTTTCGTCTACTCTGTGCACGGAACTGTACCCACTCTCCAGTGGGTTTACCCTAAGATCTCCTGAATCCTCCCCCCACCATGGTAAACCTGCCCTCTGAATTTGTTTAAATCCCAGTTTTGTGTTTTCTTCCATATGGGCTCTTACACCGCCCTTATCAACGTGTACACTGTATAAGTGCCCTCCAATCAGTACTCATCAGGAAAATGCATTTTTTTCAAAGTCTTATTTTGTTTTTGAAGAGGAAGCCAAGTTTGTGTAGAAGAGAGGCAAGCCGTATTCTCAGGGAATATGTTCCCTCTGGGAAATATGGTTGCAATGAAACAGCCAAGAAAAAGTTCTGAAACTCACATTTTCTGACGAGACAGCTACTAAACAACGGACTTCCCCGGTGTCCTAACTTAGTCTGCAAGATGTTTTCCTTCCCAAAGCTGAGGGAGCCAACGCACTCTCCAACTTTATTTCAGACAAGAAGTGGGACCCAATGTTGTCACTTGTAGAGATAACTAAGCTGGCTTGAAGTGATCTCAAGATAGTGTCAGGAGGTAGAGATACGGTTGCAAACACACACAGAGTTGCTTTACATATTCGACATTTAAATAAACAGCGGGGAATGCAACTCTGCTAGTTGATCACTTCTGCACCCTAGA